AATATTTATGGTACACACTGTATATATTTACCATTTCCAGTATCCAAAGGACATTCCAAAGTGTTTCTGTGACATATTTGAGCTACCGTTACATTGGCAAGTTGATTAGAACAATAGCCACATCCTGGTACTCTTAAACAGCTCGACTTTGTGGAGAACAAGTGGCAAATATCAATCGGCAATTCTAGAACAATGTTAATAAGGGTGACTCAAAAATGTACGGATGTTTATTAGTTGTATTTACCTATTTTTAAGACAGTGGCTTGTGAATCAATNCCCCAACCGCCAATAACATAAGCAGCTGTTCCATCGGGCTCAATAGTCATTGCTTGAGCATACGTTTGCTTCGGGTATGAACCAACTTTATCGACGGCTAAAATTGTTTTACTATTAAGTTTAAGATTTTATCATCACTTAATAGTAGCAAATAATACGAATTTCTTACACTCTGCCATCAAGTTGATCCACTGATTGCAACTGAACGAAAATGCATACAGAGCATCGGTAACATTCCAGGGATAGATTCGCCCTCCTAATACCAACATGTAGTGATCAGTGGTAACTGCCGAATGGAAAAACCTGGGCTTTGGCTATAATTATAACAACCCCAATCAACTTAAATTGAAGAAATTACGTCGGAAAGTACTTGCCACATTTCCGGAATTACTACTAGTTAGTTCGATCCAACTTTTGGTTTCATACTCGAATCTGTATAGACTATTCGACATTATGCTAGTATCCTTGTCGTAAGCGTATCCTCCAAATACATACAAGCTGTTTGTTTGAGAATGGAATACTGTAGTGTGTCCAAAAATGCCCACTGGACCGTTACCTTAGCGGAAACAAAATGTTTGTTATCCATTTACAACATACGTTAAAGGTGAAAGTTTAAATCTACATGCAAATAAGACGTTACACAAGACAATATTTATTAGTCTAGTAAATTACCTTTAGTCAGCACGGCTTTCCAAACATTTTTCTCAATATTATATTCCCATATAGTGCTCCAAAATCTATTCTGCGGCGAGTCTCCTCCAATCAAAACTAAAAACTCCTCTCTATCTGCGTTTCTGTAATAAGTCAAAGTGTGTCCATAAAGTGGCGGAGGCCACTCGTTCGTTCCAAACTGCTCGGTGAGAGATTGTGTCGTCTCCGTTATATCCTGTATTTGACTCCATCTCTGATTTTGTATGTCGAATTGCCAGAAGTCGTTCAGAGTTCTACAAAAAAGTTATTCTGGATATATTAAATAAGATGACAATTGTTTCAAATTACAATTTATTGATTCATCGACACCCTAATATATCAAATGGAAGTTTCCAATCATGATTGGAATTGAGATAGATGATCGATAAAAAAATACTAGTGACCAGAGCTCGATGAAACAAGTTTCGTAATTATGTGTGTATGTAATTCAATAGGTTTTATCAAAAAAAACATGCCACAAAAGTAAGAAAGTCAGTCATAAATCAATGGCCAAGATTTAAAATTGCAACGAACAAATCAAACATTAAACACAGACTAAAATGTAAATTTAAAACGATCTTTTCAATTTTAATCTTGAATTGTAGTCTGTTTTAGAATGCTTGGTTTGTACTTACAATTTTAAATTTTTACCATTAATTTGTGACTGCATTTCTTTGTTATTCGGTGTTCTCGGGCATTACTTATTAAACCGTTCGGCCCTAGATTGTATTCAGGGGTTTTTTGACAAACCCCTTTGAATTACATACACACATAAGCTGGTTACATTGCATTTTATCCAGTCTGTACACCCAATTTGTAGATCTATTTACTCCAAAGCATAAAAACCAAGATTTTGAATTTACATTTTAAGATCGATTTCAATTGAATTTATTACTTTTTTCGGCTTGTAAATTCTTACCTATTTATTGGATTACGACGAGGCTTGGTCAATCCACCATATACATAAATCGATTGCTTTGAATGAACGATGTCTGCTCCATGAAAATATCTACCTTGTGGCATTCTAGCGTCCGGTGTTGACTCTACTGTGACCTTTGAAATACAATCGCATATTAAAGTCCTTTAGGAAAACACAATTTTCGGAAAATTTACTTGCATCCAGCTAATGTTTTTGGTATCAAACATTCGGATGTCGTTTAGCGGTCCATGACTTAAGGAATATCCGCCAAACATCCATAGCGAGCCTCTGCGATCTGAAACTAAAGAGTGTCCAAACCGAGGCAGGGTTTTTCTTAGATGTTCCACACTATCCGATAAGCGTTCGGTGTTGAACAGTTCCACAAAGACCAATTGCAGCTTAGTTTCCCTATAATTAAAAGAAATATTTTTATTGATTGAAGGAAACCCTGTTAGAAATGACTCAACGACTCAAAACATTGGAGTGAATTGAGTGACATTGAATTTTATAAAATACATGCCAAGGCTTAAAGCAGCAACAACGCTACATATAAAAACTGATGATGGTGGAAAAATACACCGAAACGTATTTTGATTAATAAATAGAGACAATAAATGACTGAAACCCAGGAATAGATTTGATTTTGAATTGAAACACAGTCAGGAAAGTATATACAATTGAAGTGTACACATGTAAAAATTCATTTTAAGCAAACACTAAACATATAGGTACACAAATAACAAAATCAGGATGATCCTTTACTTTACGTCAATTATCCCAAAATAAAAGAAGATGCACATTTAATATGCGTTTCAACTTTTTCAACCAAAACTTTTATTTGATCACATAGTTGTTAGTAACATTGTTAATAGCGAATTTTGAAAGTGAGTTTATCTTACTAAGCGAAATCCAAGCAAAATTAGCGAGAACTTCAATTACAAAGTTTTTTTCCTTTCAACATGTTTCGTCTCCACTCTGCAAGTCTGTCACAAATTAAGATTGATTTTACTCCAATAAAGCAAATTTGTGCGTAAAACCTTTCTTGTACCGCAATAAAACGTGTTTAAACTGATCGATTTTTTAAACTTCTGCGAGTTTTGAATATTCTTGCCCGCAAAAGAAAAGTAATCCGTTCTAATGTTTGATCGACCAGGTTCGATCTGCATTAAAAATAATCATCTATGCATGAAAGACGAAAACATTTTTTAAAACCGTATGAAGCCATGCGATATAAAACTTCCCAGGAGTTTTTTAATACAGCATTTTTTTGCTTGGAAGGAAAACAAAGAAAAATGTGTTTCTCACGTTTGAAAAATCTACTTACTGAACATTGCATGACGGTCCTGTCCATCCTTCAGTGCACAAACAGCGACCGTAGTTCTTATCGCAATTTCCGCGCCCCAATGCAAAACTACAATTCTCAGGGCAAATCTGTTCCTCACAAGAAGGTCCCACGAAACCTTCCGAGCACACACATTGCCCGTCGCGACATTCTCTAGGTGGATCGCAGGATTCGCAACTCAACACTTTATAAAGGGCACTAAAGCTCTCGTTTGGCCGTCCTTGCTTGTAATGGACCGTTAGGTGACCTAAAATTATTAGTTATTTGATTAATTTCTTCTGTATGATCGAATATCTAAGAACCTAAACGACTCTCAAAACATATGTATATACATGTTTCCAAGTTTATCTAATCTATATTTCCCGCTAATTATGCATTCCATCAAAGTTTGACTGGACTATTCGCTATTTGGTTGCCTTCGTTATAAATTAGGCATTTTTGTAGGTAAATCTATACAGGGTGATTCAAAATTGACGTCATTGCTTTTAAGGGGTAATAGGGGCTCACTTGGAGAGAATCATATTGATATTGAAGATAGCAAATACTAAATCATTCGAAAAGAAACATTACGATCTTTGCTTGAAATTGCGAAAATTTTTCAAATTAAAATATTCACTTCTACAATTTTTTGATGAAAAGTCGGAGCGGCAATGATGGTTTTTGCCATTAACAGAAGAACGTCAATTTTGAGTTGGGCTACATCAACTTTAAAATAATTGAATACTACAGCAGTAACTGTTAGTTCGCGTCAACTGGGTTTAGTTTGCAAATAACCCATACAAGTTTGTACTTGAGAAGAAGCAGAGTAAGTTTAATCAACCATTTTACCTGTTCGAGATTCAACTACTGCAGTTGGTAGGGCATCTTCTGTACAGAAAACGGCAGTTAAAGCACTTTGACTGCCCATCTCGACGAGTTCAGGCAAACCATCATAAACATACACGGCATTTTCACCACAAGTTACATTGAGTTGAGAAGAGTTTAACTGTAACTGAATTATGGCAGTCCCGAAATCTACATCCGGCTTGATGATCCAGAGACATTCCCTCGTAGGAGGGCCGCCCCTTGGCGGTAAGTAGTTCTGGAGAGAACTGATGCCTTGTCCCTTAAATAATAATATATAATATACGATTTAGACAGTAACACAAAAGAGTTCATTACAATTTCAGAAACTCCCGCAATTTAGATTCAAACCAATACAACAGTAGAATATTAAAAGTAATTCACATGAAACATTTTGGGAAAAATAATGAAGGTTTAAATAAAGAAATAGTTTAATATATAATTATGAACGAAAATTTACAAATCGGACTTTTTTCTTATAACTTTAATCGTTTAGGCCTGCATAATACTTGGATGAAACAACTCCATATTCAAATACATAACGACAAAATTAAATCATAGTATTTCATTAATTAAAAAGTAAATCAAAACATGAAAAATAATTGCATACTTAATTAACAAATAACACCTGAGAGAGACAAGAAAAACACTCTTAAACGTTCATTCTTAAAACTTAATAGTTGATTATTTTCGGATCTTCAGTTCATTTTGCCATCAGAAGATGCAACGTTTTGATTAGAAAGTATCCTTACCTTAGGTTCTGTTAAAACACCTCTAGCTTCACACTGATAGTAGCATTGCTGGCCATTCCTAGGGTCTCCAGAATAGTTCGGTTGACATTTCTCACAATGAAACCCTTCGGTATTGTCGTGACAAAAGCATTCCCCAGTTTCGATGTCACATTCTCCCTTGTCGAAGTCTCCGTGTCCATTACATTCGCATTTTCTGCATCTATATTTTGAAAAACAAAATCACATTAGTATTAAAAATATAATTCTTTCAATTAGAATAAATTCAGAAACATCCTCCAGCTCTGGCTTCTGGCTCTGGGTTATTGCTTGTACATACTCTTGAATACATACCCAATTTCCTTAGTAGCGTTTCCATAACTTCCCGATCGACAATACTGACAAAACTCGCCCATCGTATTGTCTTCGCACTTTTCACAAATCTGATAACCTTCAGGGCATGCAGAATGATTGTTGCAGCCACAATTTTTCGAACAGTCATCTCCATACCACCCGATATCACACAAACACTTATAATCTGGCTCCCCTTGGCAAAATCCATGTACGCACACGTTGTAACAAGTTCTCACACACGATGACCTGCCATCACCGATGAATCTACAACAATAATCACTTTTAAGCAAAATCTTTTTGCCTCTAAACCATCACCACACCTTTGATCGGCAAGTGACTTTAGTTCTTGAGTGAACACAATCTTGCAAAAATGTAAACCTAAGTAATTCCGCAGAATACGCCAATTAATAATAATAATAATGATAATATTTAAAATTGGGGTCTGCAAAAGGTGTAACTCTTCTCAACGTCGTGGAATCGAGAAATGTGCAACTGAAGCAACTCTGTAAGTGTAATCACGCTAAAATTTATCATGGATTCAACGAGTAGCAAGCATAGAAAGGCGATTTTGTTGTCCATAATTTTCACGAAGCGAACGTTGAATGCAAACGTGAAGAACAATTATTTGGATAAAACTTTTGGATAATGTACAAGCGCTTTACAAAAATTATAGCCGCGATTTTAAGTATTTTCCGCAAAAATTTTAAAATTAGTACCTAATGCTCCGACACGTTGCTGCTCACTTTAGTGTCATTTGGGAATTGCGAGCAAAAATAGCACATTTTTGGTGACTGGCATATATGCACATTATTTTGCAAATTGCCTAAAATACCGTAATCAATTTGCAAACTACCCAAAGTAGTAGCGATACTGTAAAGTGCTTGGTGAGTTGGTCAGCTTTCGAAATTCCGAGGCATTTTGCAGATTGACGCATTTCATACATAGCCGGTAACATATACTTTTAAAACATAACAAAATAGCTACCAATTCGTGGCAACTTGACTTAAATCAGCTCACCCTTTTCGACAATGACAACTGAATGAACCATCTGTATTAGTGCACTCAGCTTGAGGATGACAATCATGCAACCCCAAGCCGCACTCGTCCACATCAGGACATTGGGCATAAGCCCATCTCGCTTCTCGGCCTCCCAAAGCCACGGAACATTCCACATGGGGCTGTTGAAAATCCCCTCTCACGCAAGTTCCAGACATGGGATTACTTGCGTCATGACACCATCCACAGCTTAAAGCACTTAAACAGGCCGAACAGTTAGAATGGGCGGCGCAAGCTTTGCATTGCTCCTGTGGCTTGTGTGTCAGCGAGCTGTTTTCGTGGGCTGTGATCAAGGGAAACGCCTGATCCAACCATTCGCGGCACAACCCAAACTGATATTCACTAGTGTATACTGAAAAACTGCAAGCAGGTTTTAGCTGCTGGGTGTCGGTTGAGATTTTTTAGTTACCTGAAACACTTTTGGGTCGCTTGGCACCAAACACATCTTCCTTTTTGATCTAAACATGCATCACATCCATTTCTCTGATAGCAAGGCATTGGACATTCTTCAGTGGTCACTACAGATCCCGGTCTTTGACCCATTCTGGTGCAACGAGCTTCTTCCACCCACCTGTGAAAAAAAACGTTTTTTTTATTTGGAAAATATTTCATTGTTGTGTTCAAGTGAGAAATAAACTCACTCACCACTCGCATAATTCAGTATTGACGCATGAAGTACATGATATGTAGTTGCTGCAATTGGGGCACATGCCTGGCAACAATGTGAGATACCGCCAATCATTTCCAAGGAAACAAGTCTCTTGCTCATTCTCACTGCGACTTTGGCAACTAGACGTCAGCTCACACCAACCACATTGCGAGTCGGTTAAACAATGGAGACAGTTGGCATATTGTGAACATGAACCATTAGCAAATGGCTCCAAATATTCGAAAGTGAACACCTATAAATGAATGAATGAATGAAAATGAACTTGAATCGTTTATTTAGCATTTGGATAGTTATACA